GGGGGCTGTCTCCAGGCCTCGCCTGTGCTCTCTGCTCCCATGTCTGGAGGCTGTCTCCAGGCCTTGCCATTGCTCTCTGCTCCCATGTCTGGGGGCTGTCTCCAGGACTTACCACGACCTCCAGTCTCCTCCATTCGTCTCCAGCTAGACATTTGAAAAAAACAGAAGTTTTAAAACAAAGAACAGGCAGACCACGGGATCTCTGACTGGAGCATCTTACTTTGCTGCCATCTTGCCAGATGTAAGATTAATTACTTGCTGCAGCCAAAAGCAACAAATAGTTACTTGGGAAACATCACATCCAACTTTGTACATCTTCTGATAAAACAGATTTTTATCATTCTAGTTTTAGCTGGGATGTTCTGTTTTTGAAAAGGTTGAAACACAAGTAGAGTATCTTGTTACTTGTTCTGTGTCACACTAGGAAAACATATATATTATTTATTGAGTTATTCTATTAAAATTCATCATTTTATAAAGCTGAAGGTCAAAAATAAAGTAATGGTGCCCTCTTTCTGGACAACTTTGAAGTTTGTAAGATGGCAACTTTTGACATACTGTCTTATCTCTTTTAGGCATATCTCAGTTGCATTTACTGGAATTCTTTACCAGATGTACCCTTGGGGTGTCCAACAGTAGGAAATAAACGTTAGTATGAACAGGAACAAATTATTGAAGGAAGAATCATTTCAAGCAAGTTTTTACATAAATACGGTATCAAAATATTAATAATCACAATGCAAATTCTTTAACAATTATACATTTTAAATTATCCTCTGGGGACACCATATTTTTAAGATGCAAATCTACTTTATACAGTTATAGATAGAACACGATCCTTGTCCTGTTGTGGATGTCTGTAAGCGGGTGTGAAGTATACATCATGGAGCCTGATCAAAACGTCAAAAAAAAACTAGCTTGTTTCCAATCCTTCTATTTCCATTGGGAAATGAATTGGTTATAGTAATGTTTCTGAGAATTGAAATAAATAGTGTACAGCAATTGGCACAAAGTTTCAGTAAGAACATGAGTGATGATATCATACTGGGGTTTCAGTTAGCTATGGAAAAGAACATTCTAGAGTGAAAACACTCAAATGGAGAAAAAACAATTTCAGTGGGTTGAGAAGAGATCTGACCCTGGGAAATCAAAATCAAAGATTGGATGCAAGGCTGAACTCTGAATTGCCTTTAAAGAGGTATTGGTTCGAGTACAGATAAGGTACAAATGAACGGGAAAAGAAGGACAAGGAAAGTGAGAGCTCTTTGGCTGATAAGGGAAAGGCAAGTGAGATGAAATGGTGAACAGGCATGTACAATAGGTGTCAGGTTAATCATGTAAGTGATAACCAGACTGAAAAAAAAGATACATTCACAGAGAAAGTGGAAAAGGAAATAAGTGAAGCAGAGAGAGTATGAGAAGAGACTCAAAACTAATAATAAATAGAATCCAAAAGTTTTCAATTGACAAATAATGTAGCAGAAGGGTAATAGGAGGAAGCATGTAGCCAATGAGTGACCATCCGAGGATTTAAACATAATGGAGGGGGCATGACTCAGGTACTGAGTACTTTGAATTTGTCGTTATGAAAAATGCTGCTGCTGAAGTCATAATGAGAGGAAATAGTGAAACATTTGAGTGGTCTCTGTAGCATTTTCATCAATGATCAAACATCACTATGCAAACAGGGTGCAGGGCTGGATGAACACAGCAGGCCAAGCAGCATCATAGGAGCAGAGAGGCTGACGTTTCGGGCCTAGACCCTTCATCAGAAAAGGGGGAGGGGAAGGGGGTTCTGAAATAAATAGGGAGAGAGTGGGAGGCGGATAGAAGAGGGATAGAGGAGAGGATAGGTGGAGAGGAAACAAACAGGTCGAAGAGGCGGGGATGGAGCCAGTAAAGGTGAGTGTAGGTGGGGAGTTAGGGAGGGGATAGGTCAGTCCAGGGAGGACAGACAGGTCAAGGGGGCGGGATGAGGTTGGTCGGTAGGAGATGGAGGTGCGGCTTGAGGTGGGAGGAGGGGATAGGTGGGAGGAAGAACAGGTTAGGGAGGCGGGGACGAGCTGGACTGGTTTTGGGATGCGGTAGGGGGAGGGGAGATTTTGAAGCTTGTGAAGTCCACATTGATACCATTGGGCTGCAGGGTTCCCAAGTGGAATATGCGTTGCTGTTCCTGCAACCTTCGGGTGGCATCGTTGTGGCACTGCAGGAGGCCCAGGATGGACATGTCGTCTGAGGAATGGGAGGGGGAGTTGAAATGGTTTGCGACTGGGAGGTGCAGTTGTTTATTGCGAACCGAGCGTAGGTGTTCCGCAAAGCGGTCCCCAAGCCTCCGCTTGGTTTCCCCAATATAGAGGAAGCCACACCGGGTACAGCGGATGCAGTATACCACATTGGCAGATGTGCAGGTGAACATCTGCTTGATGTGGAAAGTCTTCTTGGGGCCTGGGATGGGGGTGAGGGAGGAGGTATGGGGGCAGGTGTAGCACTTCCTGCGGTTGCAGGGAAAAGTGCCGGGTGTGGTGGAGCTGGAGGGGAGTGTGGAGCGGACAAGGGAGTCACAGAGAGAGTTGTCCCTCCGGAAAGCAGATAAGGGTGGGGAGGGAAAGATGTCTTTGGTGGTGGGGTCAGATTGCAGATGGCGGAAGTGTCGGAGGATGATGTGTTGGATCCGGAGGTTGTTGGGGTGGTACGTGAGGATGAGGGGGATTCTTTTTTGGTTCTTATTGCGTGGACGGGGTGTGAGGGATGAGTTGCGGGAGATGTGGGAGATACGGTTGAGGGCGTTCTCGACCACCGAGGGGGGGAAGTTACGGTCACTATGCAAACACACTGCCTACCAACATATCCTCAGGATTAACGCAGGTTTTGGGAGAACTATAACAATCAGATGCATCAGAAGGAAGAGACAGATGTCAGTCATAGGCAGACCATGATGACTGGGAGAAATTCAAGATGTTCAGGAGTCTGCCTGCCAGACGCAGTTTGCTAGTTTATTATTAATCCTCAATGTCAGGTCAACACTGCTCAAGGAGAATGCCCAAATTCTGGAAGGATGAGAGAGTTTGTAAACCATGTGCTCAAATGGATTTCATCCATCAATGAAGTTATTAGGAATGACAAAAGCAATTAAACTCCTGAAAA